TGATTATCTCATCTCATGTCGTTTATTTAAGCGCCGTGCATATTACGGCGGCTATATATGTATGCCTGCGAGCCCGCTCGCTACCTCGCTCACCATCTATGCTGTTGTCTCTTCAGCATATGATGCAGTAAGTTGACATCCGGTGACATGTTTTACATCCTGCATATACCACCGCCCGCACACACACACGGGCGCGCTTCTTCACGTACGTGAGGAATATGAATAGCTCATATAAAGTTTCCTTGGTACGCACACATGCTGTGTGCTGTGCTGCATGTTTGTTGGGGCCGGAGGAAAACCACATGACAAAATGTGATGTTTTTACATCCTCATTATGGTGAAAAGTGGTTAAAAAATTTCGTTTTTCTTTTTCGTTCATTTCACTTGTTTTGCATATTCCCTTTTTACCTAAAGACACAAATTCAACATACAACTAAAGATATTAATGTGGACACTCCTCTCGGCAGCCTTAAAAAAAGAAACACTGAAAAAAATGTTTTGCAAAAATTAAGAAGACAAAATTTTAGGAAGACGAGATGTACCTTAAAGAATAATAAATATTTGAAAAAATATACAAATTTTGTCCATTAAACCCTGGTTAAAAGGTTCGGGTTTTGTAAGTTTTTCAGAGAATTCTTAAAGAATATTTTAAAATTTTCCACAATATTTGTATATTAATGTATGTAAATCATATTAAAGTCCCAAGATTTTTATACCCTACAACACTGTATGTTGGGGGTATTATAAGATTGATTGGGCCAAAAATTATGAAACACCACGAAATATTGATTTCCCATATAGGAAAGTATATATGAATCTTCCTATCTCGCCGAGCTGAGTCGATCTAGTTATGTATGTCATTCCGTCCGTCTGTCCATGTTAATTTGTAACCACTCTACAGCTCGCAATTATGGCCCGATCTTCACGAAATTTAGAATGGAGGTGAGGCTAGGGTCAGAATAGAACCCTATTTCTTTTGGAGATGATCGCATAATATTTAGGGGTTGAAATGGACCAAAAACTGAAAAAATTCCTGATTTTGCAGTTGCTCTACAATTTAGCATGGGGGTAGAGCTTAGGGCTGGGTAGAAGCCTTCCAATTTTGATGGACAGGTCAATTCTGACCGTTACGTAGATGCCGATAGTAAATATATCGGTTATATATAGCGAAATATATACAATGTGTATATACAAAGGAAGGGGATGTTAGTAAGAATGCTTATATCTCAAGAATGGCTGGACCGATTTTGACAAATTTTGTCAATTCAGAATGCCCTCTTGACATTTAAGTATAGAATCTAAAAATTGCAGAAAAATGCGCCAATAATGATGTTAATTTAGATTTTGTAGTATTTTGTGACATATTTTTATATTTTCATATTTTTTATCGCATGCGATTTTTTCAATTTGACTTATAATATTTTGTAATGTTTTTTCACCTTACAACACAGGCAAATATCGTCCGATCCTCACGAAAATTTTCGTCAGGGTAGGGTTGGGCTCAGAAGGGCTAGGTCTAATTTTTTCAAAGATGTCCGCAATATATTAGGGTTTGAAATGGACCAACAACTAAAAATTTTTCTTATTTTGCAGCCGTTATAAGATCACAAATATAAACCAAAGGACACGAAATCTCGCATAAAGTTAGAGTTTAGGACAGCGGGTACAATTTACCATTTACCAGCATTACGATATCCGAAATACACAAAAGGCGAACTTCTGGCTTTTTTATGCTGATTTCGTGACGAATATCGACCAATACCGCAGACAAGCAAATCATATAGATGACTCTAAATCTGGAGATACAGAGGGGCTTCTTGCTTTTGGAGATGATCGCAAAATATTTGGGGGTTCACATTAACCAACAACAGAAATGTTTTTCCGATCACACAATTGAAGCCAATCGACACGCCTGTGAAGAGAGTTAAGGACAGGGAAGAATTCTAGCATTTTGGATGACCATTATATTTAGCTGTAAAATGGACTACAACAACTAACAGCCCAAGGGAGTGCAGAAATATTGGACAAATCTCCCTAGTCAAAATCCTAATTTCAAAAGCGAAATCTTCGAATATGGATTTGGACATAAGGGGGCTTCTAACATATTGTAGGGTTTGTAGGGTATAACATAGTCGGCCCCGCACGACTATAGCCTTTGCTTACTTGTTGTTTAATAAGAAAAGGTCCCCTTGGAAATTAAGTCCTTAAATAAATAATTTTAAAATCTATACAGGGTGAGATAAAAACACTGCAACCAACTTCAGACTTCTGTAATTTCTAAGCCACTCGCTGTTAACAGCTGTTAAAATTATTCCAGTCACAGCTCATTATATTGTTTACAATCGTATAAAAGCATTTTGGTGAGAATTTTAAAGAAAAAAAGTTTGGCTGGAAAACCACAAGTGGCTATCGTTAAGCACTCCAGCATTTAAATGTGAATAAATCTTTTGCGTCTAGTACCATCCTTCGTTACCGAGATACTGGTAGCGTAGCCCAACGTCGTAGCAGTGGACTAAATAAAACAGCAACATCAGCAGAAATGGTTCGAAAAGTAAAGACAAGTCAGTTCTTTACTTTTCGAACTTTTCTTTACTTTCGAAACCGCGTCGCAGTGGGCGAAAAATTGCTCGTGAGCTGAACTTATCACAATATTCCATTCGCCAAAAATTGAAAAATGAGCTCGGGGCTAAGCCATTGAAATTCCAAAAAGTTCAATAACTTACACTGCAAGAGAAAGAAAATAGACTCAAAAAAGCTAAAAAGTTGCTTCGCTTGACCGAAGGTTGTGAACTGCCGAATTTGTTTTTTTTTTTCGATGGGAAAATATTCGTTGTCCAGCAGTTTTTAAACAAACAAAATGATCGTCATTACTTGCCAAAGAAGTCAGCTGAACTCAGCCACCAGATCTCAAGCGCCGGCCATGGTGATGGTGTGGGCCGCCATAACAGCCGATGGTCGTTCTCCGCTCGAGTTAATCGATCGAATGCCGAATAATATAGCGAAAATATTCTGGTGGGTGTATTAAAGCCTTGGGCACGCAAACATTTTGGCCTCAGACCTTGGACATTCTAATAGTACTCAGCACCATCGCACTCAGCACACGCCACCCAAGAATGATTACAAAATGAGGTTTCTCTCTTCATTTCCAGCGCACAATGGCCACCAAAATCTCCGGATACCAATCCGTTGGACTATTATGTCTGGAGTATTTTGAAAAGCAAGATTGGTACTAAAAAATACCAAAGTGTCGATCACCTCAAGCAAGCACTTCGCCGGGAATGGGACAAAATACCGCAGAGCAACATTCGGGCAGCTCGTTACGGTTTCATTGGCCGTTTGAAGGCCATAATTCGTGCCAAAGTTGACCAATTCGAACATATCTAAACTTATTCTAAAATTTGATGATATTTCCGAATTTTTTTGCTTTCATTCAAAAAAAAATTAAAAAAATGTAAAAATTATGGCGTTTGATTTTGCTGCAGCTTTTTTATCTCGCCCAGTATATATTGTACCTATTTTTCTATATATATCCCATATTTTGGCTATCAGCATCCCATAACACGGTCAGAAGTGGTTTTTTAATGTATTTGTTATTTGGACGGGATTACAAATATTCGCAGTTTAATGGAATTTTTGGTATTTTTGATATAAAAGTTATGGTTTATTTTACCCGCTAAATATTGTCCCATGACCGCCCAAAGTGGTTAATTTCTGCCCAGCCCTGAACTCTATCTTCATGCAAACTTTCCCTTCATAATTGTGGCCTGTAGAGCAACATCAAAATCAGGACATTTTTCCATCACCATCTCCAAAAAACAATTGGCTTCTATTCTGACCGTAACCCCACCTTCATTTTTAATTTCGTGAAGATCGGGCCATAATTGCGGCCTGTAGCGAGATTACAAATTAACATGGACAGACGGACGGACGGACGAACTGACATACATAGCTAGATGTACTCTGTCCGGCGACATAGAAAGATCTTTATATAGTTTCCTAGGTCGAGAACCAAAATTTCGAGGTATTGCATAATTTTTGGTCCATATATAATAAGATTTAAATAAAGTCGTCATTTGTAATGAATTTTTTAAATTAAAAATTTTTGAAAAGAAAAAAAAAATAATCCGGGACCCTTTGTCGGATGTCTTTGAGAAGTAGAAGTTAGTCCATTAAAAGGTGATTTGGAGAGGATGTGATTTAAAACACATTTTTTTGGTCATGAAATATTAAAATAATTTTCCTAAAAAATTAAGTTACTGTATACACACATAAATTAAGATCATAAATTTGGGGGAGATATAGGCTTATATATTACCTATAGGAAAAATTGGTAAATAACTTACTATATTTAAATGTTGGGTCCATGTTATTAGTTCCGTCACTTTGTATGCTATTTATCATAATTTTGTTTCTTTGTGGTGAAAGGTAATGTTATATATTCGCACTTGATCAAATATTGAAAAAAAGTTCTTGTATTCGCAAAATGCCAAAATACTCCCCAATTTCTCTCTGTTTATATTTCTTCACGTTCGCATGAACGCATCGTAAAATATCAACAGGGTTGTCAAGAAGCCAAATTATCTTAACATGGTACTCATTCATGTCGCATTTTAAATGAACAAAAATTCCATATTATGCAACTGCATTAACCGAACTACATGTGTACATGATGTTATGCATATCATGTAGTCACTAACGAAAACAATTACAATAATAGGTACAATATAAGTAAATTAAAAAAAAAAAAACAGGTTTCTATAGCTAAGGAACACTTGCTTTGTATATGATTTCAAATATATCACGAAAAACATATACAGCTCTAGCAATCTCCAATTTTTTCCTTATCTTATAAACTGTTGCACACCACACCTCCTTTAAATTTTTGTAAATTTTATCCTGAGGAGCCTTGAAGTGACCACCAAAGAACAGGAAATTCTCTAACATCTAACAAAACTTTTACTGAAATTTTTAGAAAAAAATCAAACTTATATTTGAATTGTGTTGATTTTATATAGTGTTGATTATTATATGTTATACATTTTTTAAAAATACAATGTAGTTAATATTTATGTCTTAGGTCCGCCACACAAGTCTTTTCTAACCGGTCGAAAATCTAAAATAAATAAACATAAAATAATTTCAATAAAATATGCGAAGGAATATAAAAATGCATATTCTTCACCTTCACATGAGTTAAAGTTGGTATGCTGTAGCTGGCATCGAGAGTTAAACCACCTGAATACATCACCCGATCGGCCACAAACATCACGTCTATTTCCTTGTGGTACATTACAACTTGGCTTGAGCGTACATCTACCCACTCTACCGCTATTTAGGCATTTACAACGGCTGTATGCCACCACGGAATACTCTAAAACAATTTAAACAAATTATATTTTAAGTAATAATATTTGTTTTTGAAATGTGTCTTACTTCTTTGGAGATGCGTATTAATGGCATTCAATTGACAACGATTGGAGAAGATGCGACATCTATTGTTGGAAGTACGTCCACAAACCCCTCTGTCATTGGATAGGGAACATTTTGAAATTTGATTAACTCGGAATTGACAACAGTTATGCATTGAGGTGCGTCTCCAATCTAAGATTTTAAATTTTATGAAATGTTACAACAAATATTATTAAAATCTAAAATTTTCCTTAAGGCTTAGAAGTTCTAGAAAATAAACTTTAAAAAAATTAACGATTTCTGGAAAGGATGTAATAAAAAGTAATTTTCAAATCAACGATTTTTGTTAAAATAATAATTTTTAAAATACACGATTTTTGGACAGAAAGTTCTAAATAAAAACTAGGGTTTTAAAAAAATACAACAAAATAACATGAAAATCAGAAGAAAACAAATACGTTAAATTTACAGTCTGATGGGGCCGGCCATGTGGTACCCCACAACACTTTAATTTTAGCTAAAGTTTATATTATTGTAAAATCCTTGGAACTGAATAACCGAATTCTTCAAGATATTGTGGCATATAATTGATATATTTTAAAAATCATTCGAAACATCAAGGATTTTTCTCTAATTTTTGATTTAAAGGGTTATAGGTAATGTGAACATTTCGAATTTAAATGGAGTTGTTGCGATTATTACGTCCCCTTTCGAATAACTCTCATTTGGAACCAATTTTTTCACAAACCTATCTCTAAGGAAAAACAGTTATATTCTGCCGGACTGAACTTTTAATACCCTCCACCATTTAAAAAGTAACTCATATAAAAGTAACCTATTAATGCCAAATGTCGAGATGTTTCGTTATAAGGGGGCTATAGGATAATATGAACCTATATGGACACTGTTCCCCCATATTAGGTAGATCCCACATTGAAATTTGACTACCGAGTTTTATATCATTAATATTGAAACTGTGGCTTAAATGATCAAAATTACCGAATATAGAAATGTGCCGAATATACAATTTTCTATCACATAGAATTGAATCCAACTATGAACCTTGTTTGAATGCGTACCGTGACTAATGGGTTGTATATCCAATCCTGAATCGATTTTCACCAAATTTGACGGAGATATTTTTACCTCTTATGCCAAATAACATTGCTATAGAGAGCATGATATCATCTTGAGAAGGATTACATTAAAAAGCAGAGGCTATAGAGGTGCGGGGCCGACCATGTGATACCCTACAACACTACAATATTTTGGAAGCCACCTTATGGCCAAATCCATCCAATGCTAGACTTTTTTCCTGTCCTCAACTCTTTTCTCATACAAACTTCCGCGTCGATTGGTTTTCAATTCTGACCTGTAGAGCGACTACAAAATCAGAAGAAAAATTATTTTTTGGTCTCTTTGAACCTCTAAATGTACAACTTCAAATACAATAGGCTTTAATTCTGACCTAACTCTACACCCATGCAAAATTTCGAGAGGATCGGACGATAATTGCGATATGTATATTATACTCCCAACACGTACTGTTGCGCGGGGTGTAGAAATGTAGAACATTTAGAATTCAAAATTGTAAATCGCATGCGATAAAAGATATGACAAAAATTAAAGTGACCCCTAAATCTATTTATTATTTCGCCGGGATTACAAATATTCGAGGCTTAGTGGAAATTTTCGTATTGTTTTTAAATAAAAGTTATGGTTTATTTCACCCGCTAAATATTTTCCGAATGCCGTCCAAATTAGTGGGATTCTGTCCAGCCCTAACCTCTAACTCCATGTATAATTCCGCCTGTAGAGCAATATAAAAATCAAGATTTTTTTCAGTTCTTGGTCCATTTCAACCCCTTAATATTTAGCAATTATCTCCAAAAACAATATACTTTTATTCTGACTCCATTTTCAATTTCGTGAAGATCAGACCATAATTGTGACCTGTAATGTAATTAAAAATTAACATGGACAGACCAACGGACGGACATACATAGCTAAGTCGACTCAGCCCGGCGAGATAGGAAGATCCATATATAGTTTTCTATGTCGAGTGTTATATAATTTTTGGCCCAATCAAACTTATAATACCCCTAACACATAGTGGGGGTATACCCTACAATAAATATCGGTATTGAGTTCCACCAAATGGAAAAAATTGGTTGAATGTGAAAAATTCTATGCAATTTAATCTGATATTACATATATGGTGAATAATAACGGTGAAATCGGGTGATCGAATGGGAGCTATATCAGAATCTGATCAGATCTCAATAAAATTTGGCAGAGGTATTTGTGAGTTGTATCTGATATCTCTAATGTTAGGAACTTAACAACCATATCCGATGAAACATATATATGGGAGCTATAGCTATATGTGAACTGATTTTGAACAAAGTACCGGTTTCTAAGTTTTATTATGTCTAATGTGCAGAAATACCTCCTATTTGAACGGATATTTCACATTTGACTGACAATAAACTTGGAATCGGACGAAGCTATATCTAAACTGGGACCGATTATCACCAATTTCAATAGGGTACGTCCACGGGACAAACCAATCGGACCAACCAATCATCTAAATCGGACAATAAATGCGCTCTGCATTTTGTTCACAAAAATGCATGGACAGATGGAAGGACCGACGGACATACATAAATCGACTCTAAAAATGATTCTATGAGGATCATCAAAAGCAACTATAGGTCTATCTTGTTATACCCTCCACCATAGTATGGAGGGTATGTTAAGTTTGTCATTCCGTTTGTAACACTTCGAAATATACATTTTAGACCCCACAAAGTGCATATACTTCGTGATCAGCATAAAATTCTATGTCGATTTATCAATGTCCGTCCGTCTGTAGAAATCACTCTAGCTTCCGAAAAAAATGAAGTAAGTTGATAAAAATTTACTGAAATGTGTATTATGTCTGCAGGATTTTTGGTATTGTAAATGGGCTATGTAGGTCCACGTCTTCATATAGCCCCCATATAACGGTACCCCCGATATTCGGTATTTGGGTGATTTTAGCGAATTTATTCACCGGAATTGTTTCAAATTTGGTATTTGAAGTTCGTAAAGGATACTACAGCCTAAGCGAGAAAATGAGTCATGTGGGTCCACGTCTTCGTATAGCCCCCATATAACGGTACCCCCGATATTCGGTATTTGGATGATTTTAGCGAATTTAATCACCGAAATTGTTTCAAATTCGTCGTCGTATAAACCCTAATATACGGCTACATTCGGTATTTTTAAGATTTTAACAGAATTTTTAATGGATTTTATTTTTTTGAAAATTACCAGATTTGTACCAAATGGTGGAGGGTTTTTAAAGTTCGGCCCGGCCAAACTTACCACTTTCTTAGTTGTTTCCTTCTCCGTGTCTACTATTCTACTATTTTTGTTCATGTCAGCCTTTTCTCTGTCCAAAACCTAACGGAATCTACAATGTGTTATTTACTATTCTTTGTTTTTTTTTTTTCTAGATTCCAAGATTCTTGGATATTATAAAAGACGAAGATACTCGGTCATTACAACATTTGTTATGATTTTTTATGGAAAGTGAAAGACTAATGAAACACTTTATGAAATGTATGATTTTTCAAAATGTTAAGAGCGTAATAATTCGAAGCGGTACCAGAAAGAGGAACATTGACCTAAATATTGAGAAGTATTGGAATATGCGACAATTAGATGTTAGATGTTATCAAGCTTTGAAGAATTTTGACGATTATATATATGTAGGTTATTTTTGAAGCAACACAATATTTAGTAACACAAATCTGTTAAAATTGAAAATGTCTAAGTAGAGAACGTAGAAAAATAAGGTGATGACTTTAACTCTCTGATTGATTAAATTAAAGGTTAATACATACTCTCTCCTCTACAACCAGCAGCCTTGTGGTCGCAATCATTTCGGAATAGTTTGCAACGGCTACCAATTTGACCGCAAATTCGCTGACTATTATTACAACTATCCAAAGCTGGACATTCGCATTCACCTTGTGATCCTCTGTTCATGCTAAGACATCTTAATGGCGTGGTAACACTGAAACCTAAAAGGCAATATGGAAATTTAAACAATAATTTGTGTTCCTTAAAATGTTGCCACATAATTGAGCTTACCTTCCTCCAGACATATGGATTTTTCTAGATCGCATCTATTTGTTAAACGCTTACATTGTTTGTGTTTTCTCACACAAATGCTGGAATTACCCCAATGGGAACAGTGTTCCATTTCCGGGCAGAAACATTGGCCAACATTGCCGAGGGCAATTCCTAAACATTGGATTGGATCTTGGATGGACCATCCTAAAATGAGTGGAGTTTATATTTAAAAATCGAATATTTTTATAATTTTTACTTACGTTCGCCCAGACACTTTGCTAATTCTAATTCACAATTGTCATGCATTAGTTTGCAGCCAGTGGGACCCTTCACACATATATTGATCTTGCTAGTGCTGTTTTGACCACACGATTTTAAAGCCGGACAGAAACAGGGTCTAACTTGCCCAAACCGGAAGTTGGGGCATAATTCAATGTTGACGGAATTAAGAACTGAAGTTTTAACAAAAAGGGAAATAGGTATTGAAAAACGTTATTTCGAAGATTATTTATTACCCTCTCCTTGACACCTTCTCCTTTCCAAATCACATTCATTTTGTATCAGCTCACAGCCATTGTTAGTTTCCACACATAATCTGGTTGTACTATTGGAACATGTCAACCATTTGGGACAGTTGCAGGAACCTCTCTCTCCCGGCTTTATGTGCCTACATTGTTCAGCTGGTAATATTGTGGGATCTGCAAAAATAAATTGGAAAATAATATTGGAAATCTTTGAAATTTTCTTAATCTCTTACCAATTCCCTGACATTTTAACTCCTCCAAATCACATTCACTTCTCAGATGTCTACAACCAGTGTTATCCCTGATACAGATATTTGTAGTGTTGCGAGAACAAGTAAATAAGTTAGGACACGAACAGGTCCTATTCTGGCCAAATTCGAATTCTCGACAGTGTAATAAAGAAACGGCAGGTGGTGCTGAAATATTTAAGGTTATTTTATATTTGTAACTAGTATCAGATGTAGTAGTATTAATTTTCGAGAATATGGCATTTTAGTTACCGGTTGAAATTTAACTTTCCGCATTAAAATTTGTATTACAAACAAACATAATATAAATACTATATATCAGTGTTGAATTTCTGTTTAAGGTCAGGCATTACTTGAAGTATTTAAGTGTTTTATATTCTACATGTACTGTTTTATTTATTTACGCACCGACAAGAAAGTAGAAAAATAAAAGTTTTGAGTTATGTCATTCTTTGAGTAAATGAGCGCTATGACGGAATGTATTATTCAGTGGATGTCCTTACAAAAGGTCCAGTCTCTGTCCACGATTTTTAGACCAAGCAGTGCTTGACTTATTGTATGCAGCCACATTTTCGGAAATCTTTGCAAAATTCTGGCAAAATTTACCATATTTGGAAGGGGAGTTCTGGAGAAGCATGTCCATTAAAATCTATTATTTTATCAGAAATGTTGAGGAAGAACCAATAATTTGTGGTAGAAAATCTTATAATATTCTTAATCAGTAAGCAAAGTCTATAGTCGTGCGGGGCCGACCATGTGATACCCTACAACACTACAATATGTTAAAAGCCCCTTATGTCCAAATCCACTTTGGAAGATTTCGCTTTTGAAATTATGTCACGGAGCACTGCCCAGATATTGCCCTTAGCATTTTGACCAGGGACATTTGCCCATTATTTACGCACTCCGTCGTGCTGTTAGCTGTCCATTTTACTGCTAAATATAATCCAGTGGCCATTCAAAATGCTAGAATTCTTCCTTGTCCTTAACTCTCTTCTCAGGTGTGTCGATTGGCTTCAATTGTGTGATCAGGATTTTTTTTCTGTTTTTGGTTCATTTGAACCCCTAAATATTTTTCGATCATCTCCAGAGTAACATGCCCCTCTGTATCTCCAAATTTAGACTCATCTATATGATTTCCTTGTCTACGATATTTGGCTATATTCGTTAACGAAATCAGCATAAAAAAGAAGTTCGCCATTTGGGTATTTCGTATATCGCCTGTAAGTAATGTTGGTACTTTGTCACACAAAAGTAGTGGTCCATTCTACCCGCTGTCCTAAACCCTAACTTCATGCGATATTCCGTGTCCTTTGGTTTCTATTTGTGACCTTTATAACGGCTAAATATATTGCGGACATCTCTGAAAACAACAGGCCTCGCCCTTCTGAGCCTAACCCTACCTATGTGAAAATTTTCGTGAGTATCGGACGATAATTGCAATCTGTATATAATAATAATCCCAACCTATGTTGTAAGTTGAAAAAATATTACAAAGTGTAAACCTCAATATTATAAGTCAAATTGAAAAAATCGCATGCGATAAAAAATATGAAAAAATAAAAAAAATGTCACAAAATACTACAAAATCTATATTAACATCAATATTGGCATCTTTTTATGCGATTTTTTTAGATTGTATATTTTTATGCCAAGAGGGCATTCAGAATTGACAAAGTTAGTCAAAATCGGTCCAGCCATTCCTGAGATATAAGTAGAATGCTAACATCCCCTTCCTTTGTATATAAACCTTCTATATATTTCGCTATATATATCCGATATATTTACTATCGGCATCTACATAACGGTCAGAATTGACTTGTGCGGCTATTTGTGATTTCGCGGCGATTAAAAATATTCGCGGTTTAATGGAAAGTTTGACTTTTTTATCACAAATGCTATGGTCTATTTCAACCACTAAATATTATCCGATGACCATCAAAATTGGAAGGTTTCTGCCCAGCCCAAAACTCTAGCCCCATGCTAACTTTCGCTTCGATTGGTCTATAATTGTGACCTGTAGAGCAACTGCAAAATCAGGATTTTTTTCAATTGTTGGTCCATTTCAAACCCTAAATATTATGCGATCATCTTCAAAAGAAATAGGGTTCTATTCTGACCGTAACCCCACCTCTATTTTCAATTTCGTAAAGATCGGGCCAAAATTGCGACCTGTAGAGTGATTACAAATTAACATGGACAGACGGACATACATAGCTAGATCGACTCAGCTCGGCGAGATAGGAAGATCCATACATACTTTCCTATGTGGGAAATCAATATTTCGAGGTGTTACATAATTTTTGGCCCAATCAAACTTATAATACCCCCAACACAAAGTGTTGTAGGGTATAAAAAGTTTTAAAAATATCGACGTATGCCCAAGATTTATTAAAAATACAAAAAAAAATAAATTCACGCAGCTGATTTGGCACAAGTTTTTCACTATTGAAAAAAATTTGCAAAATGTCGAAAAAACTGGAATTTTAAAAGTTCCGAATATCTGGTGTTTCAGTATATATGGCTATACGAAAACTTCATACCGAAAACTCTACCGACAATTACCTTTCAGAGAAGTGGAGGAACTCCAACTACCAAGTTTGGGATAGTTCTGTTGAATAAGTAGCTAAATTATCAAAATACCGTGACAAAAAAACTTAAAAGTACGAATATTCGGGGTACCGAAACTTGGACCTATATGCAATGGTGTTTTATTCATACTGGGAACACATACTCTCAATCTACAGAAAATTATACAGTTATGTGGAAGCTATACCAAAACCTAGATCATTTTCAATAGTAAACTTTTATCCACCTACTCGTTTTATTTCGGAAGCTAGAGTGACTTCCACAGACGGACAAGCAGACAGTCGGAATTACATCGCTACATCAATATACAATTTTATGCCGATCAAAAACATTAATTAATAATATATACTCAAAAAATATAAATAATAAATTAGCTTGATTCCATTTTTCAATGCCATCTCTTTATGCTAGCTCAAACCGAAAGAGAAAATTATCAAATAAATTATTTTGTCAGAGTTTATTTAAAAATCACAGATTGTCTGGAAATCTATTAAATTATTTTTAGAAACATTCCTTGGTTTAGAAATCTTTCTTTTTTAAATTTAGAATTATATTCCATTCCACATAAAATCCTCTTTTCGTTCAGGAAGGTTTTAAAAACACATTCCTATAGATATTGGCTTCTTGACACCTTAGCGGAATAAAAAAGAATGCACGAAATTAAAAAAAAAAGTTTAAATTGTTAACCTTTTGTGAGGGAGGTTCAAGTAGGTGTGGGTCTATATTACTCATTTTCATATCTGAACTTTGTGCGATAGAAATAATACACATGTTAAGAAAATAACTCTTGTGGCGTAAGAAGTCAGACATATGTTCAATGTTTGGTAATTCTATTGTGATGTACCAAACTTAGACAAAATCGGGTACTTTCTACACAGATGAACCGCAATCGCTAGATCAACGCAACATGTTTTTAAACATCCGCCTCCAAATGACCACTTCATAAAAAAATCGTTATTTATGTTTGGAATTGTTTTTCATAACAAATGTTCGGAGCACTTTCTAAAAACCAAAATTTCATTCACGAAATCTTACTCCCTTCCTTTTCACCATGAATTATAGAGTTTCGCTTACTTGGATTCTGGCATTTATAACGTTCCAATTCACATTCGTTTCTCAATAGAGTGCAATCGGACGAGGATGTTCTCACACAAGTAGACGTTTGATTTGTGCTGCATGTCGACATTTTTGGACAAGAGCAAGACTTTTCTTCTTCATCACGGAAACCATGGCACTGGACCGGATCCAATGTCTCCAAAACTAAAATTCGAATTAGTACAAAATATTGATATAGATAATATATTAAATTATTTAAATATTGTATTATTTACTTACCTTCTCCACGACACCGTGCTTCTTCGGCTTGACATTCCGACACAAACAGCTTGCAGCCACGACGAGTTCGAACACAAATTGGTCTACGGCTTGTTGAACAGGTGTTTAATTGAGGGCAAAAACAAGAACTCTGTTGATTCACTGTCATATTGGAACACTGAATTGTGTGAATGGGCCGTAGATCTGTGTGAAGCGAAATATTTAAACAGATGTTTTGAATGGGTAAAAAATTAATACACAAAAAAAAAGAAAAAAAGTAATCCAGAATGAGTTGTCTAATATGAAATACTTTTTTATATCCTCCACCACCCTATGGAGGGTATATTTATTTGCTTTGTCATTCCGTTTGTAACTCTCGAAATATTCATGATTAACCCTACAAAGTGTATACATATATTCTGGATCATCGTTAAATTCTAGGACGATTTAACCATGTCCGTCTGTCTGTTTATCTATTCTGTTTTATCTATTTTTCGAACGGTGTATTTTGCCAGTAGGCAGGTTAAGTTCTGGTGGGCATCTTATTCGCCGGTATCATCATTTATCGGTATTTTTCGAAATTGGTTGAAATTTTACAAGCTCCTTCCGAATGGTGGAAGGTATTAAAAGTTCGACCCTTACCGGAAATTAAAAAAATATTCACTTTTTATAGACATATTTTCACGCGATTTTATCCTTTTCCAATTTTGTGAGAATTGTAAAAATCTTGAGTTACAGGCGGTCTAACTATCATCCCCTTCATTGATATATGGGATTGTACAAGGAGAGATAAAAAAACGCAATAACTTTTCTTTTTTTTTTTTTAAAAATATTGAATGAAACCAAAAAATTTCGAAAAAAAATTAGAATAAGTTTAGATTTCTCCGAATTGGTCACCTTTGGCACGAATTATGGCCTTCAAATGGTCAATGAAACCGTCACACGCTTCCCTAATGTTGCTCTGCGGTATTTTGGCCCATTTCCGGCGAAGCGCTTATAGTGCCAACCTTGCTTTCCATTCCGGAGATTTTGGTGGCCATTGGCACAGGAAATGAAACGAGAAACATCATTTTGTAACCACTTTTGGCCACTTTAGCCTAAACTCTAGCCACGAACTACATTCCGCGTCGATTGGTCTATAATTGCGACCCGTACAGCAAGTGCAAAATCAGGTCCATTTCAACACCTAAATATTATGCCAGCATCTATAGAGCCATGTTTCATCTTCTTTTCTGACCTAGCCCCACCTCCATACAGAATTTCGAGAGGATTCGGCTACAATTTCGACCTGTAGAGTGATTACAAATTAACATGGACAGACGGAAGATCCATATATACATAGTCATTTTGGATGCAAAAACTACTATAATATGTAATCCTGAACAATTTTGGGTCTTGTATGTGATTTTTCTGAAAACAACCGTAAATCTGGCTTACGTTGTCCCAACAAACATATTTGGACGAATAACCAAACTTTAAAGGATACGTTTTTTTTCATCACTTTAATGGTTATTAAAAAATTTAGACTATAAACCCACAGCTATAAAACTTAAAAATTTTAATTTTTTAAAACATTTTTTACAAAATGCCTCAAATATTTCATTATCCAATCCCTTCTTTTTATAGATAAGACAATTAAAAATCCTCAACACTTACCCTCTCCAATGCATTTTCTCCTCTCCAAATCACAATTATTCGCCAACAACTGACACCGGCCAGCTGCATTGCGAACACATATATTCGTTGTATCATTGCGCTGACAATTCAAAAGAGCCGGACAATAACAGCTCTGACTTTGATTCGCCTGGAACTTATAACAATGCAATATGTCCACATCACTTGATCCTGAAAACAAACAAGACATTTCACATTTGAAAATTTTAAATATTCAATTCCAATATTCAAAGCCATACTTACGCTCTCCATCGCAGCGACCTCGCTCCAGCTCACACTCGTTGCCGTAGAGGCGACAGGTACTTTGATTCACTTGCACACAACTTAAACGGCTTACACTCGAACACTGTACCAATTTCGGACAATGACAGGGATTAGTTTGATTTACGGCAAATCCTCGGCACTGTCTATTGTCGATCTCATGCCACTCTGAGCAATAAATGGAAGATGGAAAGGAAAGTGTTTGGGGTTAGTGCTTTCATGTTAATGAATAAATTTTCCTAATGGCATGGAATGAAGAAAGCTGCAGCATTCAACAATGAACTATGAAATCCATGGCATACATACGGATATTTGCCATGCCATGCTATACCATACACACACACACACACACACACATCCGAACATACCTGTTCCGACACAACGAGCTCTTCTTAAATCACATTCTGTCCCAAATAGATGGCATTGTTGTCGACGATGACCGGTGCCACCATGAACACAAATACCTGGTGTCACAGTTCGATTGGAGCACTCACGAAGGCCATGTGGCGAGCAGGCACATAAGCCAGTTCCATTAAGTTGTAAATAGGAGCATTCTATGCTGTTGGTGCGATTCCAACCTAAAGAAAATGCAATGAGAAAATATCTTTTGTGAAATTGTTTTTGTTGGGAAAGTTTTATTTTAATATAAGGGGTAAGGTTAGGTAGGATCTTAAAAATATGTTCTTAATTATATTTTCCAGAAATTTCAAAAAAAAGTGTTATTATTATTGGCCACGGAAAGTTAAAAATGTACTTAATTGATTTTTATACCCTCCACCATAGCATGGAGGGAATATTAAGTTTGTCATTCCGTTTGTAACACCTCAAAATATACATTTTAGACCCCACAATCGATTTAGCCATATCCGTCCGTCTGGAAAAATCACTCTAGCTTCCGAACGAATTGAAGTAGATTGATAAAATTTTACTCAAATGTATGTTATGTCTGCATGACTTTAGGTATTGAAAATGGGCCATGTTTTGGTATAACCCCCATATAACGCTACCTACCGATAATCGGTATTTTTATGATTTAAGCGATATTATTCACCGGAATTATTTCAAATTTGGTATTTGGTATCGTAATAGATACTACAGCATATGATAGAAAATTATTTGCGTAGGTCCACACCTTCGTATACCTCTCATATAACGGTACCTACCGATATTCGGTATTTTGATGAGTTTAGCGACATTATTCACCGGAATTGTTTCAAATTTGATATTTGAAGTTGGTAATGGATACTACAGCCCAAGACAGAAAATTGTCTGAGCAGGTCCACGTCTTCGTATATCCCCTATATGACGGTACCTCCCGATATTCCGTACTTTGTTGTTTTTAACGACATTATTTATCGGAATTCTTTCAAATTTTTTATTTGATGTTCGTAGTGGATACAACAGCCTATGACAGAAGATTGTCTGTGCAGGTCCACGTCTTTGTATAGCCCCCATATAATGGTACCTCCCGATATTCGGTATTTTGATGATTTTACCGACATTATTCACCGAAATTGTTTCAAATTTGGTATTTGAAGTTCGTAATGGATAGATACTATAGCCTAAGACAGAAAATTTTCTGTGCAGGTCCACGTCTTCTTATAGCCCCCGTATAACGGTACCTCCCAATATTCGGTATTTTGATCGGAATTGTTTCAAATTTGGTATTTTAAGTTTGTAATGGATACTGCAGCCAAAGGCAGAAAATTTTCTGTGCAGGTCCACGTTTTGGTATAGCCCCCATATAATAGTACTTCCCTATATTGATGATTTTACCTACATTATTCACAATTTTTTTCAAGGTTCGCAATTGAAATATGTAGTGGCTTATGGCAAACGTTACCTATGCAGGTCCACGTCATCGTTTAGACCCTTATATAACGGCTACATTTGGTATTTTTAACATATTAACAGGATTTTAAACGGATTTATTTTTTTTAATTGCTAAATTCTTCCAAATGCTGGAGGGTATTCCAAGCTCGGCCCGGCCGAACTTTTAGCTTTTTTACTTGTTTTTTTATTTTTACTGTGGTCAGGGTAGGGGCAAATTTGGCACATATACCCAAATTGAGTCTAGAAACTAGTGTGCTAAGTTTGGTGGAAATCAGTTCAGATATAGCTATAGGTCCCATATATATTCTTCACCCGATTTTCTAAATTTATCTTCCACATCCGTAATATGCACCCCGTAATAACGATATTCGGATATATATATATATAAAGTCAGCTCAGAAATTATTTTGCCAAATTTTATCAATATCGGTTTAGATTTGGGATATAACTTCGATATATATCTTTACTAAATTTCAAGATTATGTGCATCAAAAAGTCCGAATTGAATGGATTTTGGAACACACAAACGAATTTAGCCCGGAAGAAAGAGTATCAAATTTGGTGAAAATCGGTTAAGATGTAGCTCTAAGTCCCATATAGATGACACATATTTTAAATGATATACGATTTTTGATGGGGGTCATCATGGAAACCCTTTTTTAAACAATCCACAATGTTAGGTCGAGGGGGTCCCCTCCCTGAAACCCCTGTTAATAAAAAAGTCTTTAAAGTCTTTAAAAAACACAATTTTTGTTCAGCATATCCACAAAAATTTTCACTTAATTCAAGATTTTTTTTTCATATTAACTTGAAGAATATCCTACCTACCCCCTTAATTTCCAAATACATATATACGAATTTACATATATAACAAGCTTTCATGTTTTAGCTCTTAACATAACTTACCTGTTGCCAATGTCAAATTACAATTGTCTCTCTGCAGTTCACAGTTCGATGGGAAACGTTTGCAGTTTTGACCATTTGTTGCACACACATCGATATCGGTTCGATTGCAACTATCCACACATGGATGTCGTCCAGCTGTTGATTGCGACTGGGCCACAAAGCAAATCGAACACCAAAGGCACCAACAACTCAACACTAAAACCACAATATTGTAAAATATTTGCATTTTGTTTCTTTGCAAATAAATGGCTCGAATTGTTGTTGTTCGTTAAGTCTTGTAAATCACTCTGTTTACAAGACAGATTTGTCGATACCCTCTAGGTTGAGGGGTATTTCTGTAGAGAATTTTCTTTCTAAAATATGGGCCGGCCGTGTTGGCAATGCTATTTATTTATGTATTTCCAGGAAATATTTAACATGGCAAGGTGCACAGGTGTCTTGCAACAATGGATCGACATACTTATGTTGTTAAAGTCACTTGTTGGCGAACACACTTCAAATACACGAG